CTTTCAGAAAAGGCTATGAATGGTATCTGCGTGGATGAAAAGCTGGGCTGATGATGCACTGAAAACGGCAATTAACGAAGTGCTTCAGATTGTCAAGAAGGCCCAGATCATCGGTGTGTGGATATGTGGAACCGATGCTTGTATTGTTTCTGGTCTGAGCTTTCAGGATTATGCAACTGAGGAGAGTAAAAGCAAGACATAGGCAATTGTGAGTGGCACAAACCATACATAAAAGAACGTTGGAACTCCCGCTTCGCCTTTTTTCTCACCTCCCTGGATCCGTAAGGTGGAAGGACTTTATTGAATGCCAATATGGAAGTCTTATAGAAGCAGAGGGTAGAATAAAAGACACTGCTAGCTGCACCGACAAAAAAAAGTAGCATGTCGGGAAGATGATAGCTATTCGAGATGTGCAAGTACCTATTTCTGCCTATGGTATTTATGAGACAAACAGAGACCCCTAAAATCATCTTCGAAATAACAGTATGCCTGAATCTGAAGACATCGGCCCCAAGCTGGGTGCTGCAGCTAACAGAATTGATCACTTCCCAACTCTCTGCGCCTGTTTAGAAACTCCAGAAAATTTTTGATTGATAGGCAAAATGCATGAAAAATAAATTCCGAACAAGTAACGAACTTCGCCTGGTGCTCCGCGAGGTCCCGAAATAACTTGTCCTGGATTTCCTTTTGGTCCTCTCATACCACGTAGTCCAGGTGGTCCAACTGGTCCAGGAGGTCCTTCAGGGCCATCCATCACAACAACTTTACCATCCTGAAATGAAAGTTTTAGATGAACTAGAAAAATATGAAAAAATACTCTAGGCCGGCAATTTCTCCTCTCAGTGCTTGAAGGAAACGTAAAATTGTGGAATTATTGCAGTAGCTAAACGGCCTACTTATGATTTAAAAAACCATTTGATTTAATGTTCCCCCGCAGACCTATAATTGCTAGTGATATTTTGCCTGATTATTAATGGTACTCGCACCCAGTATTCCACTGGAAAAAATTTTTCAAGTACAGCTCTTTAAAGTTATTGGTAAAGATGAGGACTGTATGATAGACCCAGTATTTAAGTGTAGTTTTTGTATTATCAACAGTCTAAGGGAAAAAACACGCAAACGATTTATGCCAGAAAAACTGTAAAAAAAAATGAATCGACTGCTTAATACCAAGGCCATCCAAACAATTAGTGTGGGAATCTCACGCCAGTGTTGTTTTTAGCGTTTCCAGAATTTTGTTAGAGGAAGGAAATGCCAGGAGGTCTTACACAGTTTTTCAAAAACCAAATATTCATTTATTTTTTATCAAAAAATGTTTACTCGATTTATCTAATCAATTACTGATCAGATATCTGCAAACGCAAATATGCAAATGTTCGATCAGTAAGTGACTGGAAGATATCATTATTCGTTGCGCCGCAGATAAACTTGCCTGTCCTTTCTTTCCCTTTGGTCCCTGTTCCCCTGGCTTTCCCATTGGGCCAGGTTGTCCAACCATACCTTTTGAGCCTCGTTTTCCTGCAATTGGCGATTTTTGATAATTGAATGGCTGAATTTCATGACTATGAACAGTGGATTAAAAGACCCTAGTAAAAGAACGAGAATTATTTCAAACTGTTGGTTTGTTTTGGTGATTATTTCATTTTTCTGAATTGCAATATCCTGGATATGTATGTAAGGCTTAAAAGTCCCCGGCAATTTTTAGAGAGAAAGAGTGTTCTTGAGGAAGATGGCTAAATGATTAGTATTTCAAATGGTTGACCAAGAAGAGCTTGGGATCGATCCAGCACGTTCCGGATTCATTAAATAACAGTAGCAGAAAAAAGCAAGAAAGCAAATTCCAAAATGGCAATCAGGTTTTCAGTCAGTAAATCACATAAATCATAGCAAACGCGAAAGGTTGCAAGCTCCATCAAAGCGGCATTGGTGCGTTGTATTGGAATGAAAACTGACAAAGCATGAAAGCAAGTATAATCACCCACCGTCAGTGCCTGGTTCACCGGATGCACCACGCGGACCTTGTGGCCCTCTATTACCGGGCTGCCCAGGTGGTCCCGGTGGGCCAGGCATGCAAATTACGCATGGTTCCGATTTCATGCCGTTGTGAGGCATTAAATTTCCACTTTTTCCTCGCTTGCCATCCTGGAAATTAGAAGTACGAAAGTACTATATTAAGCAAAAAATGTAAGTTTTCGTGCTTTTTTATATAAATCAATGCAAAAAGTTCATGACAAGATTTTTGTCTATGTCGGCGAAGCGGTGCACGGCTTTCGGCTGCGATGGATCAGGGAAATGCAGCAGCTAAAATCTAAGTGGATTAACTGTGAATGACAACTTCAAAAACCATACGATACGGCAATTAAAATTGTTGAAATAACTACTGTAAAGGATGATAGGGGAAGCGACTGATCTTTGTCACTTTTTAAATGTATTATTTATCGGCTAAACTCGTCTGGGATTGAACGGTAGTTCCACACAAACGAAGCGAAAAAGGGGATTTGGCTGTAGAGGTAATTGATTACTAGCGTTAGTCAGCGGAACCTACTGAGCCCTCTAAATTTGTATTTCGATGAGACTGAAGCTACGATAATCCTGGCACAAGGAAAACTGCAGTATTTCATGGAAAGGAAATTTGATTGTTGGGTGCCACATAGATGTAGAAATTTCGAATGCATGAATCCCACTCATGCATAGGTTTGGGAGTGTATAATCAGCTCCTACGTCTTCCTGATGTAGGGAATTTGACATGAGAAGTTTTCATTAATTATGCATGCACAGTTGTAACATGCAATACCATGTCCTAAACAGCACTTGCGGTTACCCCATACATCCAGCGAATTGAGCACAATCGCAAAATTGAGGACGAAGTCGCTCCCTCTTTTTTTTCTGCGTATTTTGATCATTTTTAATGATTATAACGTGCTGGTTTTGTGTTATATTAGTAGTCTTAATTTCTCATCCCGTTGCGCATTTACTCTTTATTATCAATGAAGAGGTTTAATAACCCAAATTTGAAGTGTTAACTGGTGAACGGTTGGGAGCGAATGGTGTATTTACCGACCTACTGGGATCAGTTATCCCAGCGCAAATACTGGCCAACTATTTTTGAAGCTGTCAACGCATTAAAATTATATGCAGACTACAGCAAAAGGATGGGCATAAGAGGAACGAAGACACATCAAGCTCCGCAGATCCGATTATCAAAAATTTGGGTTCCGTTCCGTTATTTATTTGGGGACTAGCTGCTCCTATGTTATTTTGTGTGTTTCGACAGAGCATGTAGAAGGATCGTCTACATTCTCATGGATATTACTCACCAATGTGCGTCATCCGTTGATGAACAGAAAGACGAAAAATATGTCATATCCATCAGATTTCACCTCAGCAACTCATGGAAAAATTAATAGATTAAATCCCAAATTTAAACTAACTCAATATTGCTTACTTTTCCAGGCTTACCATCCTTGCCATCTTTGCCATCATCGCCTGGTGGTCCGGCTGGTCCAATTGGGCCATATTCACACATACATTGCACAGTGTGAACCACTGGTTTTTCGTACGAGGGTGGAGATGGAGGCTCGAATACCGGCTAAAATTAAAGTAGCTTTATCAGCTGAAAACTCACTGTCTACTTTCGTTCTAACTGCGCTATTTATAACAATTATGTCCACACAGTTATTCAGTGCCTTTCATTATGATCAATTATTTACTTACTGATTTTTTAATGATTATCTTGAGAAAATGCTGCAGTTCTGCATTGCATTCTTTTGATCCTATTACAAGCATTCTTATCACATGTAGATATTTTTTTCAGATGCTTGAAAATATTCCACTATAAATTTTTAACTATATATTTGTGTATTTATATAGTTAAAAGTCTATATCGAATTGGTAACATGGCTCAATTATATATATATAGGCATATACGTATATATATAGTTGGTACCATGGCTCAATTATGTATATATATGTGCATATATGTATACATTATATATATATACATAATTGAGCCATGGCACCAATTCGAAAATGTTTTATTACTAACTTATAATTGTGTACGTGTTTACAGCCAAAAAGATCTGGCTAACTATAAGTGGCACCATCTCTGAGGCTTGACACTCCAAAGTGAAAGTGATCGTCGGCCATGCAAGTAAATAGATGCAATAGAAAAATGCCAGCACTCAGGCCACTTACATCTCCTCGTTTTTTCCTCGAGAGTAAAGTATGAAAAAGTATCAGACCCTCTTATTTTTCTGTGTCAAATTCACATCAGCTTTTCTTTATAATACAGCTGCTATCATCGCACAAGTAGCAGACTATTCTGAGGCTGAAAAAAATTGCTAGCTAGCATCCTTTGGAATAATAAAACAAATACCATCGGTGCTGGCGCACTGTAAGCACCACTGCCACCAGCGTCACCAACACCATCATCTCGCCACTGCCCAAATAGCCAACCACGTTTCTCGCGTCGA